TGGCCTGTGTAAGAAAAAACTTTCTGTAAACTGGATTACGTATTGGTCTAGCTTGCAGCAACATTTGCTAGCTTTTCATCTCGTTTCGGTCTCCTATCCTAGAAAGTTAGCGGATCGAAGCTCGAAAAGGTTGAACGGGTATGCAAAATTTTGTTGTGTGCTATGTATTCAATTTCTAGCATTATCCAATTAGTTTGCAGCAGAAAGCATCTACTATTTACTGTTACTCCATGAATGAATATCATTACTAAATGACAAATTGAAAATACCGTAGAAATTTAACACGCATTTTGAAATTTTTTTATAAAACTCGATACAATAAATTTTCTGAAAAAATCGGAACTTTTTTACGTGTTTTTCAAAAATAAAGAAAATCAGGCATAAAGAAATAACAAAAAATATTTTACTCACGCATTTCATATCCTCGTCAGTGATGTGAGGGAAAATGATGCGATCCTCAGTATCCACGACAAGCATTTGGTCGGTCGGAAGAGAACACTTCTCTTTGAAAATACCCTCAAGCATAAACGAACGTCGCTTAACGATACTGCGATGTACGTGGTAGGATGTTGCATCATTGCGTGCACCGCTTCCTGTAGAACACCTTTAGTATGAACAATCACGCAAAATAGGCTTCACAAAATAGCTAGTACTGTGTGATCTAGCTTGCAAAAAAGCTTTACCGGCACTCCTCTCCGCACTCGTTCTGGACATTTCGCAGTTTTAGCTGAGTACACGCAGACAGTCCTGCCAACATGCGTCTTTGCGTTTGCGCAATATGGAAAAACCATTAAAATGATGAAAGTGGAAAAAGAAAAAAGGCTGAAGGATTATTTCAGTAAGTTCGCGCAGTTTTTAACTGGACAAAATTCGTGAAATCAGTCCCCTCTGTGTTTAACGTTATAGGTGCAACTGATTTTATTACCAGGTTGTAAGTGAGGGAAGGAGGGGTATAAAGAAGTAAAACGTAGATGAGTGAGCAGCGGGAAAAAATAATTGGCCAACGCACGGGCTGCCCGTGCGAAGATGCGTTTTTTGTATGGTTCCCCGCAGTTTTTGTTGCTATCGGCATCTGTTTTTTCGGCAAATGCCTCTAGCTCGCCAGAACTGTCAGGAAACATCCCTTTAAAATTTCAGCTTTCTAGCTTCCGTGGCCCTTGAATTAGCAAATTACTGGAACAAAATTTTCACGGGCCCATGCATGTTTACCAAGCATGCCTGAGAGCTGGTTTCGAGCTGAATGAAACTTTGGTGGACGGGGTATATCCTCTTAAAATTACATTCCTTTAGCTTCTCAGGTAATTGAGCTATCAATTTGCATGAAAAAAAATTTGGCGAGTTCGTACACGGGTACCACGCTTACCGGAGACTGGGTATGAGCCCACTAATACCCGGTTAGACGGGGAACACAACCCCAAGATTTCAGACTTCTAGCTTCTCAGATCCCCGACTTATGAACTTACCCGAAAAATATTTTGGCGGGCTCGGGGGTACCACGCTTACCCGGGGGCTGGGTTTCAGCCTACTAATACCCGCATGGGCGGGGAACACTACCCCAAGATTTCAGCCTTCTAGCTTCTCAGATCCTCGAGTTATGAACTTACCCGAAAAAAATTTTTGCAGGATCGTACGGGGGTACCACGCTTACTCGGGAGCTGGGTTTGAGCCCACTAATACCCACTTGGACGGGGAACATTACTGCAAGATTTCAGCTTTCTAGCTTTTCAGATCCTCCAGTTATGAACTGACCCCAAAAAAACTTTGGCGGGCCTGTACGCGAGTACCACGCGGGTTTTGGCGCCAATTTTGGGGGTGGGGCCCGTACGTGTATGTAGATGATGTCCCCAAAGTTTCAGCCCTGTAGCTTTTGCCGGTCTCGAGATGAAAAATCGGTACAGACGAAC